TGGTGGTGGTGGTGGTGGTGGCAACTGCCCGAGCGAACTCGGGCGTTTGTTGCAGTCACTTTCGTCCAGAAAATTACGAAGGAAATTGGCTAGAGCCATATCGGTCATATTGATCGACACGTCGCACTGTATATCGTACATTCGAAGCAGCAACTGGTACGGATCGATCAGAATGTGCAGATCTTGGGCGTCTCGACGAATGGCTTCGGATAATTTTCTGATCTTTATTGGATTTTGCAATTGCTCCGCTTGGTGCGCTAAGAACGATGGCATGATTCGACCGTTTTCGTCCGTGCGACCGCTGTCCTCGTCATCGTCATTGTCGTTGTCGTTACCACTGCTTCGGTATTTATCGTCCTGATAGTCATCGTTAACGGTATCCAAGAGTCCAGATAGATACGCCAGTTGCAAACGACCCAATTCGCGCAATGTCGGTTTGTCGGTTCGATTCGCGTTGTAACAACGTGTCGTTGAATATGTAAAAATCATCGTTGTACTCGCACATATCCAGGCTGTAATGTTCGAGAATGAGAAATTCGCCCAAGCGAAAAGATTCGAACGAGACGCCTTGAGCGAAGCATTGAGTAGCGGACTGATACGAGACGCTCGGTGTGGCGTTTTCTGGCCAAATTCCACGGAGGTGTCGTCCCTACTGAAAAATTTCTGTTGAGATAACAATAGAATTCCCAATTCAATTCTCAGTTGAATTCTCAATTGAATTCTCAAATGCGGTTTCCGCAAAATTTCGCATGTAAGATCTCAATTGAGATATTTGTATCGGATGAAAATAATTTATTGAAAATATAATGAACTTTTGCTGGAATGTTTTTGAAAAACATTCACAATTTTGACCCAATTTCATTAAAATTTCATAATTTCATTAATATTTTGATAATATTTCATTAAAAATGTAGAAAAATTCAGTGAAAAATCATTATTAATTAAAATAGATTGAGAAAAGTATAATGAAATATTATTTTGTCTAAATAATAAAAAAAAACTGTCATTTTATATTTTGTGTTTCATTTATTCGTGAGATTCGCGCGGGATTCGATCCCGTGTCACACGGCACCCCCATCTTTAGATGACTATGTGCTGTTCAATGCCTAAACCTCAAACGATCGTACGGGAACTAGTAATGCCAATGTGCTGTAATGATATCGTGGTGGATTGTATTTACAATATACTCTTACAGCATTCAAAAATGTAATGATATATTTGTCGGTAAATGTTTCAAAAGACATAACAACAATCACAATGCGATTAATATTGATACAATGTTGTATAACTAATTAAATTTAAACATACAAAGTGCTCGCAAAAGAGAGAGAAAGAAGGAATATTCTCTCTCTTTTGTAAGCATGTTGTATGTTAAAGTTTGATTAGTTATACTACATTGTATCAATATTAATCGCATTGTGATTGTTGTTACGTCCTTTGAAACATTTATCGGTAAATATGTCATTATATTTTTAAACGCTATAAGAGTATATTGTAAATATAATCCACTATGATATTGTTAGAGCGCATTGCCATCACCAGTTCCCGTACGATCGTTGAGGTTAGGCATTGAACAGCGCATAGTCATTTAAAGATGGGGTGCTGTCTGACACGGGATCGAATCTCACGAATAAATGAAACAACATATAAGATATGAAATGACAACTTTTTTTATTATTTAGACAAAATAATACTTCATTATACTTTTCTCAATCTATTTTAATTAATAATGATTTTTTATTGAATTTTTCTACATTTTTAATGAAATATTATCAAAATATTAATGAAATTATAATGAAATTTTAATGAAATTGGATCGAAATTGTGAATGCTTTTCAAAAGCGAAAGTTCATTATATTTTCAATAAATTATTTCCATCAGATACAAATATTTTAAATGAAATCTTACATGCGAATTTTTGCGGAAACCACATTTGAGAATTCAATTGAGAATTCAACTGAGAATTGAATTGGGAATTCTATTGTTATCTCAACAGAAATTTTTTAGTAGGGGTGATTCACGTCGTGCAACGTCTTGAATCGATGCATTATCCATACGCAAAACTTGAGTCGCGTAATGACATCCGCGTCACAGCGCACCGAGATGTGATCGTTCGCGGTGAATATGATCTTGGCCAGATTCGTCAGGTATTGCAGCTGTTGCTCGTGAAACATGCGACCCTTGAGTTGCGTGCGTGAAACCAGCAGTTTGAACAATTCGGAATTCAAACGTTCCGGTTTGTTGCACACATGAAAGACCATCATGCTCATCAGATCGGTGTTGACTTCATCTATCCTGACGTAAAGTGGTGTTATTGATCGTACCGGTGAGCGTTGATAAGAACAATTGCCGCAACACCTCGGATACGAATTCGCTCTTGCCGCTGTCACTGATTCCCTGCAGTAACAGAGCGCTCTTCAAAAATTGTCCGGGGAATCGTATCGCCATAATGTACTTGATGAAAAATAAATGGAACCTTTCTAGATGAAAAATTTTATTTTTTCCCTCGGGAGAGAACATTTTGTTTTAGATACCGATGCCTCGAATCATGGCATCGAGGCGATGCTTTCTCAATTTCAGGGAAAAGAGGAGAAAGTGATTGCCTATTACAGTCGAGTATTCAGCAAGACCGAACGGAACTATTGTGTTACTTGGCGAGAATTGCTGGCTGTCGTAGATTCTGTAAAATTTTTCCATCATTATTTCTATGGACGAAAGTTCTTCGTGAGGACGGACCATGTCTCTCTCCGATGGTTGATGTTCTTTCGAGATCTTGAGGGACAATTGGCAAGGTGGTTGGAACGCCTGCACGTATGATTTGAACAATATGATTTCGATGTCCATCATCGAAGCGAAAAAGCCTACGGCAATGCAGACGGGTTATCTAGGCGTCCATGTTTGCAAGAATTTTGTCGCTATTGCGCGAAAGTAGAGGAAAATGAAAAATCTTCCAAAGAAAAGGCCCTCGGACGAATTATCCTTGTGGAAGAAAATCTTCAAGAGTGGCGTTCAGCACAACTTCAGGATCCGATTATTTCGCAGATAATTCAAGCCAAGGAGGCCGGAAGACGTCCAGAATGGCAGGAGATTGCTTCTGGAGAGACTTCTTTGAAGATTTACTGTACTCATTGGGAAATATTGATATTGGACAACAGTGTCCTTTATAAGAAGTGGATTTCACCTAATTTATGCAAAAACATTTTGCAGGTCGTAGTTCCTCAACAGAAAATATAGGAAATTCTGAGGGAGGTTCACGATACGCCTGCAGGAGGACATTTCGGGGTAAATAAGACTGTCCAGAAAATTAGGAAGCGTTTTTATTGGGTCACACACAAAATTGTTTAATTAAGGATCATTCTCATTAAAGATTGACAATATTTATGTCAAGTATTTTTTTATTAAAACGTTAACAAAGAATTGTACTAATTTGATAAGATGGACATAAAATGAGATGTCAGTTTATCAGGTAATGATACTTAAGTATATTTTTGCTTTAAAAATATTCGTTACTTGTTAAGGCTCATGGCCCCTCGTATTGTCTATCCCCTTGTGCACAACCTTGCTTTAATTCTTAAGCCGTAAGAAATTGACCAACCACAGTTGATTATTTTTAAAATAATCGACTGTAGTTGGTCAATTTATTACGGCTTAAAGGTTAAAGCAAGGTTGTGGATAAGGAGTATCTCTTTTTAACGACGTCAGAAGCGAGAAAATGCATGCTAAAAATTCTTGCGAAATACATTGAAATAAAAATATATATTCATAAAGTAACACTTGCAATCGATTAAACAAATTTGTAAGATATTCTGTATATACTCCCCTTTTGCTCTAACAATCAATAATTTATTGTAAATTAATCTGAATAGAAATAGGTTAAGAAGATGAATTGTATGTCACGTTAATTTACGACAAATTATTGATTGTTGATTATTGATTTGTAGAGCAAAAGAAGAATGCACGGGAATATCTTAGAAATTTGTTTAATCGATTGCAAGTGTTACTTTATGGATATATATTTTTATTTTAACATATTTCGCAAGAATTTTTAGCATGCATTTTCTCATTTCTGATGCCATTAAAAAGAGATACATAAGCTGCGTTCGGCATTATAAATCGAAAACGTCGGATTGCTCTTTTACCTTGAAAATGCACAGAAGTGAGAGAGATAGGAGATCTTGTATTTTTTTCATTTTTATGCATCTTCGAGATGAAAGAGCAATTCAACATCTCCGATTTACAATGCCAAACGCAGCTATAGACAATGCGAGGGGCCAGGAGCTTTAAAATTAGTAGTAGAACATTGTAGTAAGATTTTAAATGGACCGCGTCTTACCGCGTTGTACGGAAGTACAACGAGCACGAATCAGGCGCATTTGATCGTTACCAGCGCGAAAATGCGCCTAACGGACTAAAGGGACGTCTACATTGGAAGTAAATAGCAAGAAGTAGGAAGTAAGAGTAAGAAATTGACCAACCACAGTCGAATGTGAGAAGAATAATTAACTATGATTGGTCAATTTCTTATTCTTACTTCCTACTTCTTACTGTTTACTTCCAATGTAGACGTCCCTTAAGAGGTCTCCACTATGACTTTTGCAGCTCATAAGTACTGAAATGTTCAAGTATGTTGGCGATCTGTCACAAGCGTGAACCGCAGACGGCGTTGATCAGCGTCGCGGGGAGTAACTATTATTTAGGTGTGATAATATAAAGCAAGAATTATATCAAACGTCAAACAGTACAAAAATGAATGCGACGGAAGCTGAGACTATCGCCGATCAAGTTCAGAATATGATTGTTTCTCTTTGCGGCGAACAGAAGCCAGGTTAATTTTTCAGTATATATTATGTCTTTCACAGAATTGTCACAATTGTGAATAACAATAAGTACATATTATAACATGTGAATAGTTTCACATAATTCTACAACTATTACATGTATCATGTATATAGAATGTCTGGTACTTAATGATAATAATATGTAATATATAATTTGTGCAATACATATATATATATACATATGTGATATTGATATATAATGTATATATAAAATAATGCTCTCTTTATTTGTTTTATATTTTATAGAGCTGATCAGAAGATTTATGCGCTTTTCCCTTGGGTTATTATCATCTACTCATGGTATTGAAACACTAAGGGAGGATGAAGTAACTATAGCGACATGTATACGGAACAAATTGTCAGAACGTGATGCAATAGAATTTGATAAATTACATAATGATTTAAAAGATGGGGTAATGTAAAATCTTACAGTTAATATTTTTTGAAATTTTTTTGTTTTATATTATGGCTTTTCCTACTTTTGTAATATAAGTAAATTTACAATAACATTAAAATATATTGATATTGAATATATGTTTTATAACAGTCAGTCAGAGTGTTAAACTGACTGAAAGTCTGTTTTAATTTATTACATATTTTTATAAATGTTATTTTTTATTAGCCACTGAAGAATCGTATGAGCATTTTAATATTTCTGCTAAACATGGGTCAGCCAGCAGAACAGATAAAGGATAGAATTTTTTCGTTTCCAGACATGAAATTGGGTTTAAGTCCGATTGCATCTACTAGTGGTAAGAACAGTATTGTGGCATTCATTGAGGCATTATCTAATTGACTTTATATTTAGGACAATCATCACAAACATCATGTGCTCAAGCACAAGTTGTATCTGTGAATACCACAGATATGAGTTCAAGAGGATTATTAGTGAATCCAAGTAAAATATTTAACGAGGAGTGCATTTCGGAAGATGTATTGGTTCAAGATTTGATATATTCTTTTCAAAGTGTGGAAGGCAAAATTTTAAAGTTAGATTCAAGCTATGGCTTTCAGATAGATTCCACAGCAAAAATTAATAGATCACAAAGGCAAGCTGTTTCAAGACTGAGTGAGCTGGGATACTTACATAATGTAGTGCGAAGAGGCTTAGAGAGAATGTCTGGGGCCAATGCAGGCCGAGTCGCCGACAGTTTCGTTGCTGCATTACATAAAGAATTGTCAGAATATTATAGATTTGTAGCTATAATGCAAGAAGAGGTGAATAGGTAAGCATTACATAGGTTGTCAGAGTCTTAAATAAAAGTATGATTAGAGGAAGAGTATGATTTTCTCTTAACATGTGACCCAAAGTAATACAATATGACGTTTGAAACAGGTCGCAAAATCAAATGGTGATGTACAGAGTTACACTATCTCACTTGCATCTCTGGACGTGCGATCCTTTTGAGACACTAAAATGGTTGGCGAGCATAGTGAGAGCTTGCCAAGGTCTAAAAGGTGGTGCATTAGCGTCCGCTGTTTATAATTTCAGCTGTCACGGCGACGCCAATGTAAAGAATCTTGTTAAGAGAATTTTGGAAAGTGTTTGTAATCCCTTGTACAATATGCTAATGAAATGGATCGCTGATGGAGAATTGGACGATCCGTATAAAGAGTTTTTCATTCAAGCGTGTGCCGATGTTAGCGGCGACAGAATGTGGCACGACAAATACCAAGTGAAAAATTCTATGCTACCGTCGTTCATTAGCAAAGCGCAGGCGAAAAAGATATTGGGAACGGGAAAGAGTATCAACTTCTTGCGCGAAGTTTGCAAAGATTTTACGCCGTGGCAAGGTAGACATGCGGATATGTTCAGAAACAGCGATGAAGAATATAATGGTTGGTAAACATTTGAGGATAAAAAATTATAATTTATCAAGAGTTGAACTAATGTTAAGTAGCTTGTTGCAATCGTGTCAAACTGTGAGGATGTTAAACGCTACGCGCTCTTGGTCTTTTAGTTGAGATCTTTTTCGATATGGATCCGGACGGTCGCTTGCAAACCACGATGGATGCTGCTTATAAGGAAACTTCGGCGAGAGTTGTTGAAATATTAACGAAACAATATCATCTTATGGAACACTTGCAGGGAATTAAGAGTTATCTCTTGCTCGGCCAAGGCCACTTTATCCAACACCTTATGCATTTATTAGGGTAAGAATACTGTTTTAATACGATTGTGTTCTAGTTGAAGTAATTCAAGATGTATTTTAGGCCCGAATTAGCTAAACCATCGAATTCTCTATATCCCCATAACATATCATCTATACTTGATACTGCAATAAGAGCAACCAGTGCAAAATTGGACGACTTGGACGTTCAGAGACGATTAGACGTCAGATTATTAGATCCTTCGGAAAACGAAACAGGATGGGACGTTTTCTATCTAGATTATAACGTCGACGGGCCGATAGGAACGGTAAAGCATCAAGTTACGATGTACCAATTAAGAAATTTGTTTAACGCTTGATGAATACTCATGTTTGATATTTTATTGCTCGGTTTTAGATTTTGGAACCATGCAGACAGACGTATCAGACGGTATTTTTTGCATTATGGCGAGCAAAGAGAATGGAATCGATCTTGTCCGGCATTTGGAAGCGACAGACAACATCGGCCAAAATGTTCAGAAGAATGCCGGAAGTGTTGCCGATCCAGAACCATATACATTTGATCACTAGTAGCATGGTCCACCTGGTTCACCAGATGCTGTATTATTTTTTATTCGAGGTGATCGAATGTTCTTGGGATACATTCGCGAAGCAACTTGTCCAGGCAACGTCTCTCGATGACATAATCGCGGCTCATAATCATTTTGTCGATTCCGTGAGGCATGGTACACTGTTAGACGAAAAATCACAGGTACATATTAGATTATATGTAGATGTTGTATGCTAGATGTTGTATTGTGTATAATGTACATATATTTACTTTGATAATATTGTAGAGACTTATGGATCATCTGCGCTCTGTCTATTATCCAATACAAGATCTCCAGAATCACGAGGAAACTTTCCTCGCGCGTGCTACTCAGGAATATAAAGCAAGATTAAAAACCGATAATTTTGCGCAGCCGAAAAAATCAGGCCGTATGAATAAAAAGGATCAGGAAGCTATAGAGAGGGAGGCGGCGTTTTCGAAGTATCTGAACACGTTCTCAAGACAATTGAAACTACTTTCGAGAACTTACCAGGTAATAACGAAAAGAAATATTAATTTTGTATATGCGTGTTAAACGTTCTCAATTTTCTTGCTCGTTCAAGAAAAGTGCAGTCCATCAGACATTTTGTACTTAAATATGTGAATCTATCTTTCTTCTTTTCAGGATCGTGTGAAAAAATTCTTGCTAATGCTTGCCTCTGCTGAAGACGTGTCGCTGCAGTTACTAAGTGTGCGGTTAGATTTTAACGAATATTATAAGAATCAGGATAACCGACTAGTTGCACCGTTAACATATCAACATCGTAGACAAAGTGATCAGACTTTCTTTGGATGCAAGTGACAGTCGGCAGCGGAAAATTCATTAGAAACCTTAGATGGTTCAAGTCACATTTTTAATAAATGCTATACTCAAACTATGCAGAATTCATCTGATCTTAATAGTAAGGATAAAAGCATGTTCGATTCTACCAGTAGTTCTCCTGCATTTTGTTCTTTGTATTGGCAACATGATACCACCGATTTTTTTTATAGACCTCAATCGTCCAAAATGGCAGATATCGATGGCTCTGTCGCTTTGCACAAAAGAAGGTGTAGAACCAATTTGAAAAATGTCGAACTAAGTAAACATACGTTTAGGATATTTTTGGAAAAACAGATATTGTCACATGTGGAAGTAGAGATGCAGAAAAATATTAACGAGGTTCAAACCCCGTTAACGCCCGTCTTCGATTTTAACGAAGGCGGTCTTACATTAAATTACGCATGTTTAGCGTTTCAGTCGTTTCAAACAGCTGTATCCGGAGAAAAATCGTTCATTAAAAGCGATTTGAATTTACCGAACTTGGAAGGATTTTCCATCAATAAAGCTAATGTAAGAGTAGCTAATGCGAGCATAAACCATGACACAGAGCTGGAAGTTAACGCGTACGAGAATTTTTCTCAATGCAAATCAAAAGCTACTTGTGTCGCACCTGCGTCCAATCAAAATACCTCAGATATGAAAATCAACAAAGTAACTAACGTAGAATCCAATCATCGTACCTTAATTCATGATAATAGTCCGGAATGGTTTCAAGATAACGAGACTGCATCAGTCCATGGCTCTCTATTAAGCGAAACTATCTCGGACACCGGTATATACAATATAAATACTAGAAGAAGTAATATCAATCACAAACGATGTAGTTGGAGACGCATACTCTTTTGTTGTGTTAATTAATCTTGCCACACGTGTATCGTCAATCAAAAAATATACCTGAAAAGAACTTCTTTCCGAAATTATAAATTTACTCATGCTTATTTTATATTGAATAATTATATCGTACATATTCAATCAATTGATGCGATCGATAACATTTGATTGATTGTAGCGATTTAATGTCTACACTTTTATATCTCTCTATAAATTTATTTTAAGAAATTTTAGTATATATTTTAAGTTTCATAGTCATGTATGATAGAAAAGATTGTTAACTAAAGAATGAGCCATAAATTTCTCGTAGATCTCACTAATAGAAATTTAAAATCTATATTTTTCACTACCGAGAGATAATATAGATTAGAGAATTTTCTTTTCATGTTTGATTGTAAATAGCAGTATTATTTTTGCTATTTTTTTTACAATATATATATTTTCGGTATATAACGAAGTAATATAATTATATTTGTTATCTACATATTTATATATATATCGTATTTTATATACTTATTGGATATATGTTAATATATATTATTTATATTATTGCAAACTTATCTTATTATCAGATATGGAAGCAATTTAAAAAGCGTTGCAATTCATAGATAATACTAAACAACTTTTTTCTTATTTTGCCATATTTCTTGCTATATTAAAGAATTCGTGTAGTATTAAGAATTTAAAATTTACATACCGAGATTGTGTTGCTGTGTATTTAAAATTTCTAATAAAAATAAATTGAGTACGTTATATGTTTTAATTTTTTCATATTTTTGTGCGTAATGATAAAATAAAGTTTTATAAAACATCCATAAACATTTTTAAAAACAAGTTTATTTATCATCGATTGTACGAGTTATAAATTGTCTTTTGATTTCAAATGCTATAATACTAATAGCTGAACCGGCGTTTAAACTTTCAATGCCATTAGTCAACGATATATTCACGCGAGTGCAGTTCCTCTCGCGAAGTAAATCGCACGACTGCAAACTTATACCCTCAGTTTCTCCACCAGTAACAAGTACAACCTCTTTTTTTGTAAAATTTGTCGTATGATACGGTACAATGGGAAATTGAGATATTATTTTTTTCACAAGTGCTTTGGTTTTTACGGTCGGTTTGTATGACTTAACTGTCGACAATATCTTTTCAGTTTTGTTGCTCTGATCGATGTCTACATCTGAATTATTCTCTTCCATATCAGTCCAATTTATTTCGGAAATATCCACTGCGGAAATATCTGAGTTTAAGTTAGCAGTATTATCCTTTGTCACATTGTCGTGTGTCATACTGTTATCCGCTAAATAAATCTCTGATTCGTTGCTTATTAACGTGGGAATGTCATCCCATGAAAGAGACATATGTATTGGTACACGGAAATGTGCACCTACAGCACCACGTAAGACTTTTGGCTCCCATAAATCTACACATCCTGAACAGAAAGGAATCAATGAGAGACATGTTTAATTGTAAAATTATAGTAACAAGTCAGTATAAAATATACCTTTCATTAAAAGTAATTTTTCGCAACCAACTGCCGCGGCAATTCTTATAATACTTCCCAAATTTCCAGGTTCTCTGATGTTATCACAAATAATAGTCAGAGGTATAGCATCATCAGCAGGTTTTTTATTCCATACATCTGGCTTATCAAAAATTCCTACATAAAAAGTAATATATCGTTAAAATTTTGCTTTTAAGTTTTGTGATCCATTTACATGTCTATGAGGTTAACATATATTTACCGAGTATTCCAGGAGAAGTTGTCAAGGTAGACCACAACTGAATTGTTCGATATGGAATTTTATATAATTGTACATCTTTAGGAAGTGACAATTGTAGTACATCAGGCAATCTAGTGAAGAATATAACTTTTGGTATTGCACCTCCTTCAATTGCATCTTGGATTAATCGGAAACCTTCCAATAGGATTTGGCTATTCTTTTCTCTGTTCTTCTTAGTCTTGATATTTAACATTAAAGAGCTAAAACATATATATATATATATATATATATATATATATATATATATATATATATATATATATATATATATATATATA